AGGGAGCAAAGCTGGAAGCCCTCACACCCCCTTCATTTTCTTCGCTCCCTCCCCTGTCTCCTTGGCTGACTCCTTCTCTCTCCCTCCTTGGTCTCGCTCTTTTCTCAGTCCATGCTCCTTCACTTGGTGATCTCACCGGGTTCATGCCTTGACTTCCATCTCTGATGGAATCCTCCAGCCAGCCTTCTCCCAGAACCGAGCCTGGAATACCCAGGGCCCCACTTGATGACCCCACTGTGGTGTGTGAAAGGTAGCTTGGATCTAACATGTGCAAACTGAAATTCTGCTCCTCCAGTCCCCACCCCCAGCACATGCAGGCTTATCTAGCTCAGTTGGAAGCAATTTCATTTTCCCAGTTGCTCTGACTTCAAAACCTTGGTGTTGTCCTTGACTTCTCTGTTTCTCTTACACACAGTATCCAGATGGTCAGCATGTCCTGCCAGCGATACGTTCTTATTTGGAATCTGACTCTTTTGGACCACTTTCACTGCCACTAACCTGCTCCGTCACCTCTTGCCTGGATTATTGCAAGAACTTCTTCATGGATCTCCCTGCGTCCATCCTCACCACTTGCATTTAGTTCAATATATTAGCAAGAGTGAGCGTGTCCTTCTTCTCAAGGCCCTGCATAATCCACACCCTCCTCCCCGGGCCCCTCTGACCTCATCTCCTGCTTCTCTCTCTTGCTCACTCCCCTCCAGTGACTCTGGCCTCTTTGAACATGTCTGGTGAGTCCTGGCTTCCCTCACCTCTTTCAAGTCTTTTCTGTAATGTCTTCTCAGTGAGATCTATCCTAGTCACTCTTCTTAAAACTGCAAAAACCCTCAACTCCTAATCTTTTCCCACAGATTTTATGGTCATCTAACATAAAACACGTAAGATGCTCATTTTATTTGCTTATATTCCACTATGAAAGACAGAGGATTTGTTTTGTTTATTGATGTGTTCAAAGATTCTAGATGGATGCCCAGCACATAGTAGGTGCTCAATGAATATTTAATGGGATTGGATTCAAGGAAATTGGATGGGAGCAACTGAAAGTCATTCACCCTGTGGCCAGTTAGTATTTCTGAGCTCTGGACTCGGGCTTATGTAAATTTCTTACCTGGCTAGTTGTTCCTGGTCTCTTTAGCCTCAATTTCCCTGCTCTTTTCTTTTCTTTCTTTTCTCTACCTCACTAGAAGCTGGGAGCCCTTAGAAGAAATACTCTGTGGCAAAGGGTCAAGGCAGAAATTCAAGAGACTGCAGCAGGAAACCCACATTCTGTCTGAGCCCTGCTCCAGATTTGCCGAGTAGCTCTATGTCAGTCACCTGCCCTCTCTGTGCCTCAGTTTCCTCATCTTTCAGTGAGGGATCAGACAAGGCCTTTCCGGTTCTGGCATTCTTTGATCTCAGAGCTGGAAGCAGGGCATGGACACTATATCCTTGTCATTCCTAGGGGCTAGATGGGGAAGGCATTTTCTTGCAGGATCACGCCTCAGACGTCCACTATAACCTTTGCTGAGGAGACGGCACCCACAGATCAATAGCTTGATTGGATGAAGGATGGGGTGGGGGTAGGGGGTGAAGCAGCTACGGTTTTGGTCATTTTTCAAGGCCTTTCTGTCCCTCTGTCAGGTCTCATGGCGCTCATGTGAAATACCACCTGTTAAGGATGAGAAATGAGAGTCCCTGCCCCCAAAGAATAATTTCACGCCAGTGCCTAACACGTGATGTTGAGCGTGTGGAGCTAATACCACATAACACTCTACAGCAGTATAGAGCAAGACTTATTCCAGGGGAAGTTATGGGGTAGGCGAAGACTAACTTCATTAGAATAATAGTAGCTACTGTTTATTGAGTACCCCTATGTGAATGCCTGCTACTGAGCACTTTTAATATGTGTCTTTTAATCTTCACAACAGCCCTTTGAGTGTAGGTGCTACTGTTGTACCCATTCTGCAGATGAGGGAATTGAGGCTCAATTTCACAGCTTATAAGTGGCAAAGCCAAACTTTGAAACGAGACCAGCCAGGCTCCACAGGCTTACTCTGTTACATTGAACTTAGTTGTTTAAGCTCCAAATTTGGGTGGTGGTTACTGTTTTTCCTAATGTGGACATATATTTTTTCTAAAGGAGGGTATACTTGATTGCTTATGTAAACAAGCAGTTGGGAAGTCACATATTACATCTTGAAGACTCTGGGTTATTATCTGGATAACAGTGGAAAGCCTGGGCATTGATGCAAACGAATGTAGATATGGGTTAACAGGTTGATGTTATGGGGACGTTAGCACGGGATCCATTGACAGCTGTGCCTCTTTTCTCTCTCACAGTCTGCAGTGTTCCTGCTCTAACTTCCTCCCATACCCCTTCTAACTATCTGTGCATTGGGAAGTCAGATAACCAAGTTCATTAGATGCATGTGCAAGTACAAGCAAAGAGGCTCTGAAATGAAACCCTTTTAGGGACAGAATGCATGGGCTTTGTAACCCTGTATTATTATGACTCCAGGCCTTTTTTCTTTCCTCTGGGGCCTCCGCAGGATTTAACATAGTCCTGCCAGTCTGATACCTTGAAATTGAGGTGACAATAGGACAGTCCCATGGAGATGTCTCAAGTCAGAGCTGTGCTGACCAAGGCCATAGCCACTGGCCCCATGTGGCTACTGATCACTTGAATTGTGGCTGGTCTGAGTTGTGATATGATGTATGTGTAAAATAGGCTTAGTTCAAGAAAGAATGTCAGTTATCTCATTAATAAATTTTGTATATTAATTACATGTCAATCCAAACTTGATTCACTGAATACATGATGGTGTTCAAAATAATATTTTCGATATATTGAGTTAAAAAAACTCAATATATCAAAATTGCAAAAATTAATTTCACATGTTTCTTTTTTACTTTTTAATGTGGCTATAATATGAGAATAAAAAATTATATGCGTGAATGTAAATGTGGCTTACATTACATTTCTGTCAGACAGCCCTGAGTTAGATTCGAATGGAGTTAGATGCTTCAAGTGGAGTTAGATGCTCCCATGTGACCTGAGAGTCACGTGTTGGGGAGGAGAAGAGAATCCCCTCATCTGCAGAATGAGTATCGACCTCCAGGCTCTCTGCTCCACCTTCTTTCTGTCACAAGCAAGCCTGGCATTCTGAAGCTGCTCTGCTTCAAACCCACGCCTTAGTGGGGATGGAACTGGGAGGTGAGACTGGGCTGAAGCGAGACTTACACATCCTAATCCATGAGCAGTGGGGAGCCAGGCAGTGCTTTTGACTTGATGGATTTTGATGGACTTGTGTTCCTGGAAATCTGCCTTCCTCACTTTGACTGAAGTATGCCCAGGAGCTCAGAGGTTCAGCAAGAGGCACGGAGGTGAGGGCTGGCTTGGGAGTGGGTGACTATTCCCTTGACACTACACTTGACCAGGTCCCTTCCAGGCTACAAAATTTAGCTGAAATGTCTCATTCTCCAAGAGGCCTTCCCTAACCATAGTAACTCTTGGTTCTCAAACTCCTGCTGCGTGTACAGTTTGTACCACATCTTTTATTCTGCCGTGGTTAATAGACCCTCGCCATGCACAAGGGAAGAGGCCCTTTGCAAACATCCATGTTGTCAAATGCCATGTCATTTCTCCCATGAAAATTGGATGCTGTAAAATTTGGATGCAAGCCACCTAGCTGGACACCATGTCTACACCATGTAGAATTCAGAGGTGACCCTCAAGAGAATCATATATCACTGTCACAAGCCTTTGATGTGTCATTCTTGAGGGAATGAGATAATGGCTATTCAGTTATAATATTCCAAGAGTGTACAGCTCTGTCCTTCAATTGTTCTGTTAGTCTTCTCTCCCTGACTCAACTCTGAGTAGTCAGCAGAGGTGTCCTCTTATTCTTTTATTTTTTTAAAAAAATATATTTTATTGATTTTGTACAGAGAGGAAGGGAGAGAGATAGAGAGTTTGAAACATCGATGAGAGAGAGTCATCTATCAGCTGCCTCTTGCACACCCCCTACTGGGGATATGCCTGCAACCAAGGTACATGCCCTTGACTGGAATCGAACCTGGGACCCTTCAGTCCCCAAGCCGAAGCTCTAGCCATTGAGCCAAACCGGTTTCGGCTCCTCTTATTCTTAAAAAAAAAAATAAATAAAATAAAAAAAAAATATATATATATATATATATATATTTTTTTTTTATTGATTCAGAGAGTAAGGAAGAGGGAGAGAGAGATAGAAACATCAATGAGGAGATAGAATCATTGATCGGCTGCCTCCTGCACGCCCCCAACTGGGGATCAAACCCACAACCCTGGCATATGCCCTGACCAGGAATTGAGCTGTGACCTTCTGGTTCATAGGTCGATGCTCAACCACTGAGCCACGCCGGCTGGGCAGTGCCCTTCTCTTCTTGACCCTAGAAGACCCTACTATCTATAGTGCTATGGGAATAGATACAGGTATCCAATGAATTAATTGTAGAATGAATGGAAGCTCCATCAGGGCAGCAGGGATGGTGACTGTAAAGTTCAATATTGTCTCCTGGGTACCTGGCACCCAAAAAAGTGTTTAATAAATAGTTGTTGAATGAATGAGCTCAGTGATCTGCACATCTTTATTTGAGGAGTACAAAATGTCATTTGGATGGGTTTTGTTAGTTGGAGTGTATATAGAAGTAAGGTCTAGTTGCCTTGTTTTCAGAATGAATTTTTAGTGGAAGGTCAAGGGATTTAAAAGATAATATAGAGGAATAAACCTAAGGCAAAACATAGTAGATTGGGTTCACATGGGCCATTGGGAAACCATCTTCAGTGTTCTTTTAAAAAATAATAAGTGGAGTGGACATAAAGGTAACTGTACTTTTTGTCTCCTTCTTTTCTCTATTTTCATCCTTTAGATTCACCAAAACCACCAGTTGCTCCCAAGCCAAAGAATGCCGGTCCTCTCACACCAGTGACTGCACCCAAATTCCCTTCGTCACCCAGGCCTGACAGTCTTCACAGTCCCAACTCCATGTCGAGGGGACCGAAACCCCCCATCGCCCCTAAACCAAGGCTGGACACCCCCAATGAGTGGAGGGCCAGCGTGTACATGATCAACAGCTTGAACAAATGCAGCAACGGGAAGCTGCTCTGTGTAGACAGGGGACTCTACGAAGAGCCGCAGTCCAACCTGGAGTGCTCCGAGGCCGAGGCCGATGAAGATTACATCGTCGTCCCCAGGGCTCCACCCAGCGAGGACGAACCCAGGGATGGGGACTCTGTGGAGAACGCAGTCATGGTGCCTTCGGATGCCACTGGGGAAGAGGAACCCCAGGAGGAAGGCGAGGAGGAGGAGGAGGGGACAGGAGCTGCTGAAGAAGTGGCTGCCCCAGCCGACGTGGCACTGAGTGGAGAGGCTGATGAAGGAGTAGCCCCCGTTCCTGAGAAGGTGGGGGCTGAGGACAGTGCCCAGGACCCAGGGGAGGAGGAGCAGAAGCTCACAAGTGAGGAGAAAGAGAAGCTGGTGGAGGAACACAACATGTACAACCTGGAGGATCAGGGCCCTTGGGATGGAGAGGCAGCCTTTTCGAGCGATATCATTCTAACTCAGGTTGATGTAGAGGACCCAGAATCACCTGGCAGGGAGCCTGGGTCTCCTGGGACACCCAGGGAGGCAGAGGAGGAGGGTGAGGAAGGCTGTGCCGAGACAGAGCCAGGGGTGGCAGAGGAGTATGGGGAACCTGACAGGCCCACTGAGGAGGGTGCTGAAGATACCAGTGAGGAGGCCCTGGAGAACGAGGGATTGGCCTCGGGCACCCAGGAGGCAGAGATCGTCACCGACAACCCTGACGTCTCCGAGGAGGAGCGTGAAGATGCCACACGCGGGGGCAGCCGGGATGATGAGGACGAACCACCTGACCAAGGTGAGAAAACTGACCACGAAGAAGTGGCAGCCGTCACCCAGGAGGCGAGAGAAGACGTTCCGGAGAGCGAGGACCCCGTGCAGGACGAGCCTGCGGAGGAGAGCTGCCAGATCATTCCTTTCGAGAATGACTGCATGGACGACTTTGTGGCTTCACTCTCGGGAAGTCCCTACGAGTTCTTCCCTACAGAGAGCACCTCTTTCTGTAGTGAAAGCTACTCCTCTTTTCCCGAGTCAGCAAAAGGCTTCGAGTCAAAGCAGGAATCAAAGTCAGGGGAATGTGCAGGCCAGGACACTGTGGCCGGAACTTTGTGTGGCCAGCACGGCTCCCTGCAGGACGACCCTGGGGAGGGCCCCTCTGTCCCGAACGTACTGGTCTTGCCAGTGGACGAGGATGCCACCGACGACGCGCTCACCAACCCCTACGAGCTGGGAGTCGACGTGGTGTGCGGAGCCGACCCCGGAGAGGGAGGAAAGCCCGGGACACAGGCCGCCTCCGACGACCTAGGGGGTTACGGCTCCAAAGAAGAAGAGAACTCCGATGAGGGCGGCCTGATCCCCATGGACAGAAAGAACATCCTCGCAAGGGCCAGGCCCCACTCTGGGAAAGTGCCCGGCTACGTCCCAGAAACGGTCCCCGAAGAAGCTGGACCGGAAGCTGTCTCACCGTCGGCCACTGGCATCGGAGGTGCCACCGAGGAGGCAAGAAAGACGGTCCTGTCACTGGAGGGGAAGCCACCACTGGAAGCCAGCAGGGCCTTGCCAGCGAAGCCCAGAGCCTTCACTCTGTACCCTCGTTCGTTCTCCGTGGAAGGCCGAGAGATCCCCGTCTCCGTGTACAGGGAGCCGGAGGCATCCGGCTTAGACGACCTTCGAATCAAGAGGAAAGAGGACAACCTCTCCCTGCCCTGCGTGATCGGCTCCTCGGGGAGCTTCTCCCAGAGGAACCACCTTCCGTCCAGCGGCACGTCAACGCCGTCGTCCATGGTCGACATCCCACCGCCTTTCGACCTGGCCTGCATCACCAAGAAGCCCATCACCAAGAGCTCCCCGTCCCTCCTGATCGAGAGCGAGCCCCCCGACAAGCACGGCAAGAAGAAGAAGTCGTCCTTCAAGCGGTTCCTGGCGCTCACGTTTAAGAAGAAGACCGAGAACAAAGTGCACGTGGAGGTCAACGTGTCTTCCTCCAGGTCGTCCTCGGAGTCCAGCTACCACGGGCCTTCCCGGCTCCTGGAGACGGACCGCAGGAGCCTCAGCAACTCCCCTCAGCTCAAGACCCGGGCCGGCAAGCTCAGGGCGTCCGAATCGCCCTCCTCCCTCATCTTCTACCGGGACGGCAAGAGGAAGGGCATCCCCTTCAGCAGGACGGTGTCCCGCGTGGAGTCCTTCGAAGACCGCTCCCGGCCCCCCTTCCTGCCCCTGCCCCTGACCAAGCCCCGGTCCATCTCGTTTCCCAACGCCGACACTTCGGACTACGAGAACATCCCGGCCATGAACTCGGACTACGAGAACATCCAGATCCCGCCCCGGAGGCCTGCGAGGGCGGGGACGTTTACAAAGCTGTTTGAGGATCAGAGCAGAGCCCTGTCGACGGCGAACGAAAACGACGGCTACGTGGACATGAGCAGCTTCAACGCCTTCGAGAGCAAGCAGCAGGGCGCGGACCAGGAGGCAGAAAGGTACCGTGAACCCCATTTTCTACGCTGTTTAGCAGGAGTAAGTGTCCGAGTGGCTCGGGATGAATGGTTCTACCTCTCTGAGATCTCAGTTAACGTCATCTGTGAAATGGGATTCATGCCACCTCGTGGCAGAGTGTTTGAGAAGGTCAGATAAGGGTAATCCGTGTGGAAGTATGAACTAAAATGCTAAGTTCAGTACAAATGTGAGCATGTGTAGTCGCAATACCTTGTGGGAGATTTCTGATCGGGGTAGAGAGCTTTGCCGCTCCTCTCCGGGAAGGTCACCAAAGAGAAGGTGCTGGAATCTTGCCAAACTAAATACCTTTCACCATCAGGAAAATACCCTAAATTGAGATTGATACCTTCTTTATTGTGTAAATATACACTCTATTGAAGGGAACTAGAAAAGGTTATTTAAATTGTTTAAAAAGCCAAGGGTGCCCTGAGCTAAATTTCTGAATAGAAGTTTTTAAGAGGTACATCCAAGCGGATTTTAAAAAAAATTTTTTTATTTTATTTTGGACTTGTTCACCTTGGAAGTGAGAGTGAAACACTGAAATGGGGGTTTTCCTGACCCCACCCCAAGACTGACTGAATGCCCTTCTTGATCATCCCAGGTAAATAATTGCCAAATCTCACTGTTCCTTGTCCATAATGGATACAACCTAAGGGCGATGGAACTCACTCTCAACCAGTTACATTCTTTTGGGACTACCTGATCTGAATTAATGAAAAGCCAAAATGGTTGTGATTTTAAAGAAATCCTGATTCTTTCCCTCTTGTGTGCACTAACTCAGCCCCGTCCCACACAGCTGTTGCTGCTAGGATTTCCTAGGGGACTTGCAGTAATGAATAGATAAGAATGACTTGCAATTAGCATTCGCTGTTGCTGGAGTATAGATGCTAGACGTGTTTCTATGGTTTATTCTCTTGAGTGTTTTTTACATGGTTCCCCATGCTGGTTCTATCTTCTCCCTATCCCAGGCCTGGGCAAGACTGTTATTAATTAGTTCTTTCTAGTATGAAAAGGTTTGTTTGCTGGGACAGAGGTGAATGCCAGCACTGCTGGCAGGACCAAATTCAGTTTGGACATGTGGGATGTGTGGGAACTCTTAGAGGGCAAGAGGCACTGAGCTGCCAAGATCATTTCATTGATGGTTATCAGCAGGGTTTGATGACACCCAACCCCAGCTGAGTGCCTCTTAGCATTAATAGAAATAGAACCAAGTTTTGAAATCATAAAATCTCTGTGCTGGAAAGCATCTCGAAGGGTATACGGTCAAGCCTCCCACTTCTAACAGGTTTGTCTCTTAACCCAGTTTCTACTTAAATTCCACAAGCTACAGGGAGCTCACTACCTTCCAGAGCTGCCTTTTCTGTTGCCAGATACTCTGATTATGTTTTTCTTTCTGACCGAGGCAAAAACTGTCTCCTTCTAATGTCCCTACCTCACTCATGCTGGCTCTTCCCTTCCGAGCCAGGCAGGTGAGCCCGTTTCCTCTCTTGTGTGACAGCTCTTCAGAAATTGAAGTCTGCTGTAGAGTCACAGAATTGTATGGCGGTAGGGGACCTTCAGGCAGCATTTGGTCCTGTTACGGAGGTGAAAACGGAGGCACAGAGAAGGAAAGGGACTTGCCAAGGGCTTCTCAGCCATTTAGTGGAGAAATCTGTGCTAGGACTCAGATTTCCTGATTCCTTCAGGAATTTGCAGTGAATTATGCTGCAGGATGCCAAGGCTGGGTGTGCACTCACGCAGCACACTGTGCAACCCTGGGTCACATGCACCCTTTAGTCGGTATATGGTGGTGCCCTCTGGGGTTGTGCTCTGCACAGGCATTGGCCATATGCAAAGGCCCTGATGTCTTGATCTGTAATTTGTCTGAACAAACAAGCAAGAAGATGTCATCACCCAAAGTAACATGACAATAAGGGAATAAAATACCCCAGAAAATGTTAATATTACCTTATCTTGATTGTTTACTGTGTGATCACTGTGCTAGGTGCTTCCCCTGCGTGTCTCACATTTGATGCTACAGCCTGGGGCTTTGGTTGAGTATCCTAACGGTCAGGCTCTGAATTTCCAAAGCACTGTCCCCCACTCTGATACCAAAGGCCAGGCTGGCTGGGATAAATCTCCCATTGCAGGAACCACATCTTCTTGGACATCCATCAGTGAGCAAAGCTTTCTTCCGTTTTCCTTCATGGAACAGATGGAAGCAGAGGGGGAGAAAAAAATCCCTGCTTTGGGCTGGGACAGGTCTGGGCAAGGGAGGTTTCAGACACATCAAGTTGAGAGGCACAAAGGGACTGCCAAGGGGGTGGGGGCCCCACTGCTGCTTTGCCTGAATGAGAGCTTTGAGAATTGAGTGGAGGGGGCCTGCTGATCTCAGACAGGGGTGCTTCAGGTTGGAACAGGGGTGAGAGGCAGTTCCTTCCTCCTCCGGCTTGTCCCGCCCTATGGCTTGCTTGAGTGTGAGGATCAGGGATAGAAGCCAAATACATATGTTATCGTCCTGAAAGAGCGATAGGAGACATGAGTTCAAAGCCCAGTCAGTCACTGACTTCCTGTGGGATCTTGGAAAGGGCTAGACCACAGTTTGCTCATCTGTGAAATGGTAAGATTGGCGTAGATTTGTATTTCTCAACCATTCACCTTTCCTGTACCACCTTTATGGTCTGTTATACTGCCTATAGTCTCACTTACTTTTTTGTCTTTTAAGCAGTCCATCTTTTTTATTTTGAAAAAAAAAATGTTTAGAAAGGGAATTTCATGTCCTGTTAGGATGTGGAAAAACAGTATCAGTTGCCATAAATAGAAGGCGGTTGTACAAATAAGATACAAAGGAAAATAAAATGACAGGTAAAATCTCGCTTGAGGTTGTTACTTGCCACGGCTGTGAGCTGGAGGCTTGGTCCCTTTGTTAAACAGGGAGAGGTGTTAAAGACATCCTGGCACCACACAGAGACTTTCTGCTTGGCATAATCCAGAGGATTCATAAGGACTGAAAAGTGGTGTGATTCAATGTTATTTAAATCCAAATTCTTTTTCCACTAAAAGCACTTTTCTTTAAGAAAGGGTAGAGTATATAATTGAATTCAGAGAGCCCTTAGGGACCCCTACATCAGAGCAGCAGCTCATCAAAGCACTAATGGATGGTGATAAAGTTTCTTCTGTGCAGTTACTTCCTCTGAGACGTGTATACACAGATAATAACATTTTAGGAGCTATAATAATATCCTTATTAACAACTTTCTATCTTATAAAACAAAATTGTATATACACACATTGCAAAGTTTTGTCATCCTTTAAACTGTATTCTTTTTCCCTGAATTGACCCTCTTGGGGGGAATAAGGTTTAGAAATACAGTCTAACAATTCTACTTTTTAAATAGGTTGTTTTATGTCTTCAGTCAGTAGTCTTGGTTGGGAGAACCTAGGCTTGACTTCTGAATATCCATGGCACCTCAGTATGTTGGTTATGCACTACGAGCTTAATAAATATATGCTGATGGCCAGGGGTTAATGATTCTACTAGAGGCCTGTTGCATGAAGATTCATGCAATAGCTTGCCTTCCCTGGCTGCTGGCACTCTTTTTTCTCCAGCACCAAGGACCCAGGCCTTGGCTTTGGCCACCGCCTTCAGTCTTTGCTCCAGCCAGAGCGCTGCTCCTGTAGCTCACCACTCTCCGCCCTCCCCCTCATAGCAGGCATCCCCCCCGACTCAGCCACTCTGCACCTGCATGCATGCTGCCCAGAGGCCCAGAGTGGCTGGGGGACAGGGCCACCACCATCTTTTTTTTTCAGGCTAATTTGCATACTCACTCCTGATTGGCTGGTGGGCATTGTAAAGTGATGGTCAATTTGCATATTTCTCTTTTATTAATGTAGATGGGAATAAGTGATTTTGAGCTTCACAAGGGTTCTGGATAGAAATATAATTTATTATGTACCTATCTTTGGCAACACAGTGCTAGGCACACCCATTGCTGCAAAACACTACAGAAACTTATTTGTTCTAAGCATCTCATTTAAAGCCTCAAAACTGTGTTTGTGGATTTTTTGTTGTTGTTGTTTCTTTGGGGGGGAAGTGATTTTTTGCACTATGTTAATCACAGCACTATGTATCAGCACAGATCTCTGATGTCACTTTTCTCTAACATTTCATAATGAAAACATTCAGACTTATAGGAAAGTTGTTTTTACAGTGAATGCTCGTATGCTCAACCCCTGGGATATACCATTGACATATTGCCATACTGTGCCTAGTGAAGTATGGTAGGAGATGGTCACACCATCTCTGGGCAGGGTAAAGAGAGTCCCTGAAATGTGAGTAGAATGCTTAGGAGTCCAGAGGAGGGTGGGATGGCTTCAACGACAGGGTGGCATTGGGATAAACACTAAAGGAAAAGTAGGATTTCGACATCTGAAGTAGGAGAGGGGAAAGGTGTGAGAATATACAGAGAAACTTCGGGCTGTAGTCTTCAGCAGGTAAAGCTGTCATGAAAATTATTTTATCTTACTTCAGAAGGTACCTTGATATCTTTAGTCTGAACAAACGATTCAGAACATCTGAAGACGTGGAGAATATATGAAGGAGATTGGGTTGAAAGACTTAAGGACTAAACTCAGACACCATCTTTTTCTAATTTCCAGTTCTTACGACCAAATCTTGCATCAGCTAATTCAGTCCCTCCTCTAACATTTGTTCAGCAGCGTCTACTAATTGTCAGCTGCTGTTCCAGATACTAGGGACGAAGGTCCCTCCCCTCAAGGCCTTTCAGTTGGGCCGGGGAGAGAGATTGACAGAGGTCATTACTGGTAGAACCTGGTGTGATAAAGGTTTTGTTAGAGGTCCCTCCGAACAGTCCTGGAGGAGTCTATCTGAGAGACACCTGAGGTGGGTATTGCCAGAAGAACAAGAGTCCACGGTGGAGACACACAGTCCAGGAAGAGCACACGCCTGCGCATGAGTTTGGAGATAAGGAAGAACCTCGAAGTG